TTAGAAACAGAAGGGACAGAGGGAGTGTGCTGGAGGGATTGGGCCAACAGAAATCTGATGAGGTTCAACAAGATCACATGCAGAGTCCTGCACTTGGGACGGAAGAATCCCAAGCATAGTTACAGGCTGGGGACCGCCTGGCTAAGCAGCAATTGGGCAGAAAAGGACCCGGAGATGCAGAGGATGAGAACCTGGATAAGAGTCAGCAGAGTGTCCTTGTAGCCAAGAGGGCTAATGGCGTAGTAAGGTGCATTAGGAGCATTGCCAGCAGATCCAGAGGAGTGATGATTCCCTTTTATTCGGCTCTGGTGAGGCCACGTGTGGAGTAATGTGTCCAGTTCTGGGCTAATTTAGTCTGCAAAAGAGAAGAGTGAGGGGGGATTTGATAGCAGCCTTCAGCTTCCTGAAGGGAGGTTCCAAAGAGGCTGGAGAGAGGCTGTTCTCAGTGGTGGCAGGTGGCAGAACAAGGAGCAATGGGCTCAAGTTGCGGTGGGGGAGGTCTCGGTTGGATCCGAAGAAAAGCTGTTTCCCTAGAGGGTGGGAAGCGCTGGGCTGGGTTCCCTAGGGAGGGGGTGGAATCTCCATCCCTGGAGGTTTTAATCCCGGCTTGACAAGCCCCTGGCTGAGCTGATGGAGTTGGGTTGGTGCCGAGTGTCACTCTCCAGGCCGGATCCCTGGCTCCATTCGGCGCCCCAGAGGAGGGGGTGGGATTTACAGGCTCTGTGCCCCCTTTGTTCTCCCTCGCCCTCTCCCCACCCCAGTCCAGAGGCCGGCAGCAGCCAGCTCTGGGTCCCAGCGCCACTTAGAGCAGCTTCGGGCGGTTGCCACACCTGGGAGGGTGCGGAGACTCGGCAGTGCTCCAGCGCCACGGCTGGGCAGGGGAATCCCTCGAGCAGCCAGGTCTCTGCCCCTGCTTTGACTGCCAGGAGGGAGGGCCAGGAGTCTTTTCACCCCCAGGGCTGGGCTCGGGGGCGGCCACGCGTCAGGACCAACCCTCCACCCACACCCGGGACCCGAGGCGGCTGGTTGTCGTGGGCCCCGCTGCAGCTGCAGCCCGAGAATGCTTGGGAAGGGGGCTGCTTTCTGTGGAACCTCAAGCCACTGGATGCTTCAGACCAGCCTGGGCCAGCGTGCGGGGCTGCCCCGGTGGCTGGACCCCTCCCCCGGGCAGGGCTCGCAGCGGCAGCGGTGACCTTGCCGGCTTCTGTTCCGCAGACTAACTGCGCGGTGGTTTGGCACGGCTCCCCGCCCCACTTCACTGGCCGCTGGGATGACAGGAACTGCCTGGAGGAGAAGCACGGCTACATCTGCCAGCGGAGCATAGGTACGGGGGGGCTGGGAGCCCCGGGGGGCGGTGCCTTGCCCAGGGCAGCTCCTGCAGGGAGTGTAACCATCGCCTGGTGAATGAGGCACACGGCTCCATGTGTGCACCTGCCAGGGTCGTGGGCTGCAGCTTGGCCCTGCCCCGGGCTCTGAGCATCCCACAGTCTCTGGGCAACGTGTGCTCCCTGGGTTCTCTGGCACCAGGCACACTCATGAGGCTGAAGGTCCAAGTTCTCGTGTAACACGACCCACGTGGCTGCAGAAAGCACTAGTGCCCGTGCACCACCCAGACACCTTGCTGTCCGTGTGCAAGCTGAGAGCATCCAGCAACCGGCTGCAAAGAAACACCACCACCATTTCTAGAACGCCCCTCCCCGGGGTGTCTGGGCTGCCAGGCCTGAGCCTGCATTGCTTGGGGCAGGTCCGGGCTAGGGCCCCAATGCAGGCTCCGAGCAGGCCACCATGGCCCGGAGGGCCGGCTCGCTTTCAGATCCTGGCCAAGCGTGTGGGTCTGGGACGCGTCAAGTCTGTCTCTGAAACGGCGCTGAGCCGCTCTGCATCGAACACCCGCGCCCACGTCGTAGCAGCCTGCCTCTGCGCTCCACGCGCCCGCCCTTTGGCCCATGCTGCACAGGATCTCCTGCCCCACCCGGGCTGAGCTGGCCGCTGACCCGGCCCCGCTCTGCACACGGGCAGCACCAAGCTCCCTGGAGCCCGGATCCCCATGTGCTGATCAGTCGCAGCGCTGAGAGTCAGGCTGGTCCGGGGTGCCCAGGCGCGCTCTCAGTCTGGCTCCAGGTCTAAAGAGAAACCTGCATCTGGTTTCCGCTTTCTCCCCCAGGGCTGGCTGTGGCCTGCTGGGGCGGGCGTGTCCATGGGATGCTGGGGTGACTGTACCACGAGGCGTTTTCCCGGGGTCCCGTTCGTGCCCACGTGCTGGGCCAGCTGGCGCCGTGCCGAGGGCGTCGCTGCTGTGCCAATGGGCTCTGAGCGGAGATCTGACCTTGCCCCTTTCCTCCCTCAGACCCAGCTCTGAGCTCCCGGACCAGCTCCCCCCCGTCCCCGACCTCCCCGCTCTCCTACCTCAACAGCACCTACCGCATCCTGCAGAAGCCGCTCAAGTGGCAGGAGGCCGTGCTGCTGTGCGAGACCCGCAATGCCACACTGGCCAGCGTGCTGGACCCCTACACCCAGGCGTACCTCAGCCTGGCCATCAGCAGCCTGCGGGCCCCTCTCTGGATTGGCCTGGCCAAGGAGGAGGTAGGAGGGAGGGGCTTGTCCCTCAGCTGGCAGGAGGGGCGGGGTTATGCTCCGCCCCTGAGCCTTCCCCTGGTTTGCAGGGAGGCCGGAGCTATTCGTGGGTCACGGAAGAGAGCCTTTCCTACGCCAACTGGCAGGACGGGGAGCCTCAGCAGGTCACGGGCTGCTCCTACATGGACGTGGATGGGACGTGGCGGACAGCCGGCTGCGACACCAAATTGCAAGGGGCTGTCTGCAGGGTCAATTCAGGTGTGTGCGCCAGCCTACCGGGGCGCGGGGGGAAGAGGCATATGGGGCAGGTCCAGGGAGCGGGGCTTGCACGTCGGGCGCTCCCATGCGCTGGCTGGAGCTTCGGAGCCCCTGGCCGAGTGGGCCGCAGGCTGAGCTGCAAGACTCCATCCAGGGGGCGCTCCCTGGCAGGGGCTGGCCAGGCAGGCAGGTGTCCCAGATATGCCCCCGCCCGCCCATCCTTGCAAGGCAGGACCTAAACTGGGGGCCTGCAGCAGTGCGCCTGCTTGCAGCATTTCCCTGGAAGGAGCCGCTTGGTCTCCTCCACCCTCCCCCTTGGGTTGCTCCCTCCTGAGCTGGTCTTTGGCTTCGCCTCATAGGCGCCGACTCCGCGGCTGCTCCAGAAAACACGGGGGGCTCAGCCCCCACCAGCTGTTTGGTGGCGCCTTCGATCAGCTGCTTGGAGGAGTCACCACATGGTTGTGACTCCTGGGGGAGAGCCCTGAGCGAGGGGGCGGCGCGGAGGCAGAGCGAGGGGCAGGACCTTGGGGCCGGGGAAGAGGCACGGTGGTGATGGGGCCTTGGGGCGGGGGGGAGGCCCCCTCCCCTCAGCGGACAGAAAATCTCAGTGCCCTGCGTTGTCTCCTTGGCAGGGTCCCCCCCGTCACACAAGTGGAGTTACAACGGGAGCTGCCCCAAGTCGGTGGAGGACTCCTCCTGGATCCCCTTCAGGGATCACTGCTACGCGTTCCACATGGAGGTCACCCTGGGGCAGAAGGACGCCATGAGGAGGTGCCAGAAAGGTAGGGGGGGAGGCGCAGAACACGAGCGGGAGCGGTGAGATCCCGGGGCCCCGCTGCCCAGGCAGGGTTGTTCCCCTAACGTGCCTGCGGGTGGCTTCTCTGGTTGGTTTCAACAACCCCAGCAGTGCAGCTGCCGCCCCTTCCTGTGCGGGGCCAGTCCCACGTCTCCCTCGCGGCCAGTGTAAATTAACCGTCACCCCCCCTTCTCCCAGCCTGACGCCCGTGCGCGTCTCTGCCCCGGGGGCTTCCCCGCTTCCGTCACGCTCAGTCCAGCCGAATCTCTTCCGCGTTCGGTGTACGATCAACTGATCGTCACGTGTCACTTCCTCTCCAGGCCCACGGGGCACCCCCCCAGCACTCTCACCTGACGGCAGGTCCACTGACTGACTCCTCCCTCAGCCCAGCCCCAAACAGCATGGGGGTGCTCGGGGAGCAGAGGGGGGAGCTGGGGAAGGGGTGGAGATGAAGCAGAGGCCGGAAAAGGCAGGGGTGGGGCTGCGGGGGTGGAGCAGCCCCAGCTACAGGGTCCTGGCTGAGGTGCCTTTTCCTCGGCAGCTGGCGGCACCGTGCTATCCATCCAGGACGAGACGGAGAACATCTTTGTTTGGGAGCATCTCCAGGCCTACGAGAGCCAGTCCAAGGGCGCCTGGCTGGGGATGGCGTTTAACCCCAAAGGTAAAAGAAACACGTTGTCCTGGGAGGGATTTGTCTGGCTCCAGTGGTCCTAGAAACTGCAGCGTTTGGCACAGCGCTTCCAGATCTCTGCAGATGGTTGGTGTCAGGGGACAGCATGGCCCAGTGGGCAGAGTCAGGACAGCTCAATGCTGCTGTTTGCCTCGGTTCCCCGGCCTGCACAAATGGGGATGCTGGCACCGTCCCGCCAGCGCTACAGTGCGTGGTGCTGTACTGGGGAGCCGCGCGATAAGGGCTCAGTGTGACTGTCCCCAGTGACGCGCTGCACCCGGGAGCCGTGGGGACTCGCACCGAGGAGCCGGCGGGTGTGGAAGTCGGGCACTCTCAGGCACGGTGTCCCGTCTCCCCGGGCGAAGGTGTGTCCTGGGCATGCGGGGCCCGTGTAGCTCTAGGCGCCTGGGGCTGGCAGGGTGAGTGGAAGACGACGAGGAGACAGAGGAGAGGCTGGATCTCCCCCAACGGTGAGCTTGGTCTGTGACAGTGTCTCCTTCCTGCCTGGATCACCCCAAGGGCTGATCTAAGGGGACCTCCCAGGGATTCAGCCATTTTCTAGGGGCGGCCACGGGCAGCCCCCGGGTCGTTGTCCTTGCTGGAACCGAGAGACTCTGGCGACGGCTGCTGACGTCAGAACAGAGCTTTGCATGCTGGGAACTGACACATCCGCAGGCGGCTCCTGCAGGCTGAGCGCGAGGGCAGCTCCCGTGTGATGCCAGGGAGGGGCCCTGGCAAAGCACCAGCCCCTGCTCTCAGCTGGGCAGGGCCCTGGCTCCCCGGCAGCGCTGTGTGACGGTTTCTCGCCTTCTCCTAGGAGGCACCTTGGTTTGGCACGACAACACAGCCATGAACTACTCCAACTGGGGCCAGCACGACACTGGGCCCAGCATGCTCAGCCAGAACAGCTGCTACTGGATCCAGGGCAGTACCGGGGTGTGGCACCTGGGCTCCTGCTCCAATGTCACCATGGGGGTCATTTGTAAGATCCCCCGAGGTAAGAGGCCCCAGGGGGGTGGCTGAGGTGGCTCGGGGCCTCCCACCAGGAGAACCAGAGAACCCCCAGCTGGCTCAGAGCAGTCCAGTGTCCTGGCCTCAGGCCCGGAGAGGGGCGTTTGGGGAGGGAAGGGGCGAGGTTCATCACAGCCCCTTGTGCACAGCACCCAGAGCACAGCTCAGTGCCCTTGGCTCCCCGTGCTCCGGGCAAGGGCAGGGCTGACACGGTGAGAGCTGTGGCGGGTCGGATTGAATTGCAATAGCAGAGCTGTGGGGGGCAAGTAGCAGATCAGCAGTGAAGTGCATCAGTGGAGCTGTGAGAGGAGCACAGGGCTGGGACTCACTGGGTGGGGGCCGGCTCGGGGAGTGCCATGGACTTGGCAGGTAAGGGGCCAGCTCAGGGGAGCCAGGGACTCGGCAGGTGAGGGTCTGGCTCCGGGGTACCAGGTACTCAGTGGGTGAGGGTCTGGCTAGGGGGTGCCAGATACTCAGCAGGTGAGGGACTGGCTCGGGGGTACCAGGTACTCAGTGGGTGAGGGTCTGGCTAGGGGGTGCCAGATACTCAGCAGGTGAGGGACTGGCTCGGGGGTACCAGGTACTCAGTGGGTGAGGGTCTGGCTAGGGGGTGCCAGATACTCAGCAGGTGAGGGACTGGCTCGGGGGTACCAGGTACTCAGTGGGTGAGGGTCTGGCTAGGGGGTGCCAGATACTCAGCAGGTGAGGGACTGGCTCGGGGGTACCAGGTACTCAGTGGGTGAGGGTCTGGCTAGGGGGTGCCAGATACTCAGCAGGTGAGGGACTGGCTCGGGGGTACCAGGTACTCAGTGGGTGAGGGTCTGGCTAGGGGGTGCCAGATACTCAGCAGGTGAGGGACTGGCTCGGGGGTACCAGGTACTCAGTGGGTGAGGGTCTGGCTAGGGGGTGCCAGATACTCAGCAGGTGAGGGACTGGCTCGGGGGTACCAGGTACTCAGTGGGTGAGGGACTGGCTCGGGGGTGCCAGGGACTCGGCGGGTGAGGGGCCCCTTTAGCAAGGGCCAGGGCCCTCCACGAGTGCACCACAGGCTTGGTGGGACCAGGCAGTCCAGGCGGAGGGAGGAGGCACTGCCCAGACTGGGCACATACTGTGCATTGCAGCAGCCCGGTGTAGCAGTCTGGGTTGGGTGGCGGGGAGGAATGCCTTTCCCCACTGGCAGCCATGGCTCTGGGAGGAAGGACCCTGGCAGGCTACTGATCCCTTCCTCTCTCCGTTTCCCTTGCAGCTGAGGAGAGCAGCTTCTCCCGATCCGGTGAGTGGCACAGCAGGGTCACAGACCAGCATGGGCACGCGCTGTCCAGCCCCAGCTGTAGGGTTTGTGCGGCCCAGAGGGAGTCCCTGGGTCCGGCAGCCTGTTTCCCGTGAATTCCAAGGGGAATGACTGTAGCACCCGTCTCCTGGCAGGGGCCAGAGATTTCCCTGTGAATCCCCAGGGCAGGAGCCATATTTGATTCTACGGCTGGGCTCTGTGTGTCCGAGACAGGAGGGGCATCAGCTGCTGGGAGCCAGAGGCCCATGTGCTGCAGGTTGGCACGTTGAGAGGCACCAGGCAGAAGAGATGCCCCCTTGGTGACCAAGGAAACAGACACCCCCCCCAGCCCTTTGGGGAGCCACCTTTGCTTAGGGGGCCTAGTTCCCAACCTCTGAGCCCCGGGAGCTGGTGCAGGGACCGGCCTTATCCCGCTTAGAGCGAGAGGAGCCCAGCCCGCATGTTTGGGAAAGGGCCGGGGCAGAGTTACAGGCCTGAGTCGGCCGGGCCTTGGCCAGTTCACCCCTCTCGCTGTGCTCCAGCCTTCCCTCAGCCGAGCTGGGAGCTTCATGGGCATTTTCCTGTCTCCCTCAGCTCTCCCCGAGAACACGACAGCCATCGCCGTGGTCGTCCTCTCCGCCCTAGCGCTGTGCGCTCTGATCGCCCTCACCGTCTACCTGTACAAGCGCCGGCGGAGCGCGGAGCGCGGGGCCTTCGAGAGCGCCCGCTACAGCCGCACCACCTCCAACCCCAGCGAATCCGCCGAGAAGAACATCCTGGTGTCGGACATGGAGATGAACGAGCAGCAAGACTAATGGGGGAGCCGGGGGGAGGGGGAGGGACCGAGAGCACCACACCAGACACGCACGGTCAGCAAAGGGCAACAGCAGAATGGCCGCGGCCGGGACAGGGAAGAGGCGCCGAAGGGGCGGGGGCACTATGAGGGCCTGGCGGCAGCGTCTCCCTCTCACGTCCCGAGAGACACAAACCTGCCCTGTCTGCTCTGCGGTCCCAGCCCCATGGGAGTTTAGGGGATGGCAGTTTCTGGGCCACAGGGGGAGGGCAGAGCATCGCCCAGTTAGAGCTGCCCAGGAGCCGAGGCACCCGCTACCCTGAGGTATCAACAGCCGGAAGCATTCAGGGCCAGAATGTGGCCCCCTGGACTGCCTCCCCTGAGAGACCTTCCGTCTAGGTGAGAGGTCTCTAAACCAGCCTTCCCCCTCCACGTATCCGGGGGGAGGGTTCCCCTCCTCTCCTAGCGTCTGTGTATCCATCATGCCTTGCTGGGTCACTGCTGCCCAGACCCTTCCTCCATCCCTCTCCCAGTCGCAGAGCACGGCCACCGCCCATCTTCCCTCCCACAAGTGGCTGTCCCACTAAATCCCTCAGGATCAGATCAGAGCTCTTCTGTTCCCCCCACCCCCCACCAGATACGAAGGCGTGAGCACTCCCCCATCTTCTAGTGCTGTGTCTGATCTGTGGGGGGGTTGCTCTCCGCCCTGCCTTCCTCCCCACCTTGCTGTTTTTCCTGCAACAGCAGGGCATGTCATGGTGCAAAGGTATTTATTCCGTAGGGTGTTAGAGACAGAATCCTTTGCCCATCCTCGCCCCTGCGTCTCCTCTTCTGTGGACTCAAACAGTCCACGTCCTCCGCGCCTGAATGATGCCAAGAACTGGAAAACGGAGCTCTCCCGCTTTGTCTCTTGTGCCGACAGGGGGTTTGTATCTAAAGCTGCAAGCTACAATGCAACTCGTGCTGCTAAGCAGTCTGGTCAGTCTCGGTCTCATTGCAGATTTCTGACAGGAAGCTCAGAGTAAGGAATGAAAGGCCCCTGGCACCACGAAAGTTTGCACATTGTCACATTCCTGTGCCAGACACGGACCGGGCGCTGAGCGTGCATCGTACACACAGCGCCTGTGTTCACCATACGTTCCTGTCATGCTTTGCCAGACATGACATGCCTTTACATCCGGTGTGGTACACACACTGCCACGGTGGCTGAGCAGCAAAACACAAGTTTATCCTTCCCATTCCATCTCTGTGAAGTTCTACATTCCTGCCCTTCACAAGAGTCACCCATTGTCTTTGAAGTTCAGCACGTATCAGACTGTTAAGTGCCTCTGAGTGATACTGTTCTAATTACCCAACCCCAACGGGTAGCACTAGGCCATCTGGCCATCGGTTGTAGGTTTGGAATCTTTAAGGAATCACTTTGCATCTACCCTGTGTGGCGTTTGTTCCTCAGAAAGAACTGACGGAGCAAACTGTGGATGTCAACAATTTCTGTTGAACTTTCCTCTGTTGGTCTAGGTCACACACAATCTGGGTGCTGAATTCTTTTTCTGTACGACAGCCGGAGTTGCCCGCTTTTTTCTCCATCCAATTTAACAGGAACAGTCTAGACCTGGCGGTTTTCTGAGTGACATCTCTTTGAAAAGTGCTTACAAGCTTTTTTTTTTTTAACCTTTTCTTCCAATTTGTCTCCTCTCTTCTCACGTGGCCACTTTGGAAATACATTCTTTTCCGAAGCTGAAACAGGAGTTGTGAGTTGTCTTCCCATCAGGAGTCGTGCTAGTCTGTATCCAGTAGCTGTTGTTGCTGTTGATCTGTAATTCAAAAAAGCAATGAATAGCTCTTCCTGCTGTAGGTTTTCCTGGCTGTCTGTAGAGCTCTCTCTCTTCTCCATTCGCCTGTGGGTAAAGTGGGATGCTAGTAATATCATGATCATATTTCATTTGGAATGACTTAAACTCTGCTGCAGTGAATTATGGTCCATTGTCCATCACTAGTTGCACTGCAATAGCAAAGTGAGCAAAAGGGCACTTCCTTGATAACACTGCAACATGTTATGTTTTTCAAGTACATTAATTGTATATACTGTACCTGGCAAATAGTCCACAATGATCAGCTAACGGTGTCCTCTGAAAGCATTCAAACTGCTGCTAGTTTCCTGCCAGGTTTGTCTGGTAGAGATGTTTGTACACTCTAGGGCTCAACTTAAGAAAGTCGATTTGTCCTGGACTGCCTCTCAAAAGTCCAGTATGTGGAGTTCTTCCACCTTTCTCACTAGGCCTCTCTTGGCTGCCGTGCTACAGCTGAGAAGGTTGTTGGTCTTTGATCCTATGCATTCTGAATGCAAAGACTTTGTCTTATAAATTGTTTCTGTGATGAACTGGTCCATGCAGTGCAGAGTATTGCCAAGGCTAGTTGGAGCTGTGTGAGATGGCTTGAGCTCTGGGAGATATTGAAGGTTATTGTATGTCTCTTCTGAGATGACTGTGGCATCCGTACCTGAGTCAAGTCTTGCTATGAATGTTCAATTTCACTTTCCAGGTAGGTTCTGTGTCATCACACGAGGTAGATCCCAGAAACAATGGCTCTTGATTGTTTCTAATATGAGTCAATTCCCTGACTGCTTTTGGTAGAGCAAATAACTGGAGAATGTCCACGTTTCATGCATTTATTACACTGTATGCCTTATCTCTCGGGATAAGACTTTGTTCTTTCTCTTTGCCTCGGGTGTTTTGTGATAATGACTTTAAACACCCAAGTGTCTTTACCTGTTTCTAAGTCAGTGTTAGGTTTTTCTATTTCACCAGCTCAGAATGCTTTGCTCTGTGTTAATCTGTGGCTAGGGTTAAATCTCTCTTCAATTGTAGCTGCTGTGAAAAGTTTGTATTGGTAAATCCAATAGCATACTGTCTCTGCTATTTTCATGTTTTGCATTTCCAAAACCACAGTTTTCAGGCATTGTATACAGCGCTCTGATAAAACATTCAACATTTTCCCCTGGTTCTTGAATTCTCTGGAGAAAACATTCTCTTTCATAAATCACATCTCATCTGGGGTGTAAAGAAAGCTTTAGCCATAGCCAGAACACTTTCATAGTCATCTTTGTCTTCAGTAAAGTTTCCACACAGCATAAATTAAGGAACCTGTATTTCACCAGTTTCCTTGTAGAACTTGGTAGCAATGTGAAATCTTGGAATATATTGTTTCCAGTCTGTCCATTGTGAAAGTTTGTCAAAGCTGAAGTTCTTCATTGCATTGAGATCCTGCAATCTCTGTTGCTTTGTTCCTTCTGTTTGAAACCTTTTTGCTGTTTTCTGTTTCTATTCTTAGTTTGCTCCTGTCACCAGGTTATGTTCTTCTGTCCCAGATGTGGACTGGCTGTAGAGTTTGCTTATATATACCAGATGTGTTCATCAGAAGCTCCTTTAATGCTCTGCAAGTCTGACTGAGGTTAATTTAAATAAGGTATTTTCCACATAGGCACCTAGTGGCTGAACTGTAAAACACAGTTTAGCGTTCCATTACCCTGGTGGCTCCCAATCCGTGGTCCGTGGGCCCCTGGTGGTCCGTGATGATACTACTGCGGTGGGCTCAATCCTTTTCTTTTCTTTTCTTTTCTTTTCTTTTCTTTTCTTTTCTCCTCCAGGGAGGGGGGTTCATGACATTTTAACAGACTGAAAAGGGGTCCGGATGCCTTAAAAAAGTTGTGAACCCCTGCATTACACTCTTCTAGTTCCCAGCTGCACAGCTGCCAGACAGATGTTCTTTCCCTCTCTTTGTCTCTGTCACACTCCATCCTCCAGCACACCCCATTCCATACTGGTCATTCTGCTGTTAAACTCTGCTGACTCTCAGATCAATGGTGTTTCTTGGGAGAAACAACCCTGAGCGTTGAGTTTGTTTTGTGTTGTGTTTGGAATTGGTTGCCTCACTTGGACTGTGATAAAAGGGTGGGAGAGGGGGCTTGATTTTGGATATTTGGGTTTTTTTTAAAGGGAAATGATAGCTGCTTGCTATACTGTATTGAATGCGTGCTGAATATATATACCCTCTTTCACGCCGATGGCTGGGAAGTTTATGGTTGCTTGTTTCATGTGATCAGGGTAGCTAGGAAGGCAATGCATGGCTCGTACCCTTCTTTCGTGCTTTGGAGCTGTGCAATAAGAGACACCTGGGTTTCCTGGAGAAGAAGCCCGGAATGGAGCTCAGCTTCTCCACTTCATCCTCTGGCTCCCGTGACAAACACTTTGCCAGAGTCAGACTCCAGATGACTGGAAACAGCGAGAGACATTCAGCCCTTGAGGGGTGATCTCTGGTTGGAATAGGACGTGAAGGAGGCCTTCAGCCTCTCTGGAGTGGGACCGCATGCCCCTGCAAGAGACACTAGGTTTTAGCCCTCTGCCTCCACGGCTTGAATTTTGGTTGTTCTAAAGACAATGGGAAATAGCTAATTTTGTTACTCTAATTATTATGGCATCTGTATGAACTTTAAAATGTGTTGATTACACTTAAGCTGGAAATTAAGTGTATATAAAACAGTTTTGCTGGGGAGGGATGTTTGTTTTTGGCTTGCTCGGGGTTTTGTTGCATGATGGATTTTGTTTATTTTGGGTGGTGTCTACAATCTGTCACAATAGTCTGAAGTGAGGGGCAACTTGCAGACAACGGAACTGCCCCACTTCCATTTCCTTGCCATGGCTTTCTCTGTGTTTATTTCCTGAGGATTTTTCTAGAGCGGTTTGTTTGCATACCCAGACACAGGGGGCTGTTGTGGATGAATGCACTAGCCTTTCAGCTTTGAAGATTTGGGTAGAAAAACTTGATGAGGATGAAAATGAATTTGCTGATCTCATCCCAATCCCCAGTGGGCATTTAGCTCCATCACACACACACAAAACAACACCGTTCGCACTGGCAGCCTCTTCCCCAAGGATCTCCAGAACGTAACTAGCAGGAGGGTTGCTTGGTGTAAATAGACGTCTGCTGGCCTACCTGGAAAAGCAAGGCAGTGCTGCTGGGCGGGACTGAAGAACTCGCAGGGGTCCATGTACTGAAACAGCAGGGGATTACAGCCCTTTTTTAAAAAGGGTTTTTTATGTTTCTGATCAATTCTTTCTCTTTCAAGGTGAAATAAAAACTCAGAACTGCACAGCGTAGGGGAAATTCTCTGCGGAAAGATGCACGTCATTAATTGACAAAGATCAGGATTACTGGACTAATTCATACACCGCTAAATGGAATTTCCTACCACCATTAGAATAATGTGAAGAGGTGCTTACAAGGACCCTGTCAATGTATGTTTTGCCTTTTTTTTAAACTCATGTTTTGTAAGATCCTTCTCGAAACTTGGAAATAAAAGTCCTTTCCCCACCAATTTTTCCCCCTCCCCTTTGGCAAATGGAAGTTTTTTCTTTCTTTGGGTCCCTAATGGTCCTGAGGCGCTGGAGCTCAGATTAAGCTTTCCTCTGCTTGTGGCTGTCCCAGCACCTCTGCTGTCACCCAGTTGATGGAGTTGCGTATGTCTGTGAGTGGCTGCTCTGCAGATAGTTGAGGGATCTTTCAGGTTGATTTTTGCTGCCCCTAGAATTGAGGCAGCTTTTGTTTGTTCACTTTAAATCTCAGTGACCAGTTCATTGTTTTTTCAAATGGGGTATTTACTAGGGATGTGATAGTGTAAACGTGTGAACAGTTAACTGATGAGTCTGGACTCATCGGTAAACCTTCACGATTACACACAGCCCCCTTTTCCCCTGTATCAGAGGCAACAGGGCAGAGGGGGCTGGAGGGAGCCAGTGCTCATGGGCTTTTAAGCCGGCTCCTTGTGCATACCGGCTCCCGTGGCCTACCTGCCCCTGCTCTCCTGCTGCTTCTGGATCAGAGGCAGCAGTGAGGGGATTTAAAAGTTGGTTCCCAGCATGCACTGGTTCCCATGGAGCTGACTCACCCGCGCCCTCAGCATGTAAATGAAATTTTCCGCGGTTACATGTTCACCAAAATAAACACATTTTAACAGCCCTTGTATTTACATTTTGACAGCCAGTTCCACAAGTTCATGAGCTATGTTAGACTTGGACAGGACTGGGTTAACTCTTCTGGGGGCCTGGGGCCATTAGATTTTTGTGGGGCCCTCTAGATTCCAGGGTGGGACCAAAAATGAGGGGTTCAGAGTGCAGGAGGGGGCTGTGGGTTGAGGCAGGAAGGTGGGTACAGGAGGGGACATGGGCTCTGACTGTGGGTTAGGGATGTCACATGTAGTCAACTATACAATTAACTGATAAACCTAGGCTTATCAATTAATCTTGCCTACTGTATGCATTTCTCCCACCTTCCCCCCGCCCGCTGTCTCTGTATCAATGTATCTCTAGCTTAAATTACAGCTCCCCACAAGCACCAGATCCTTTTCCCACCCTGCCCCTGTGCTACTGCCTCTGATAGAGAGGCAGCAACACAGAAGCTGAGCGAGGGTAGACTGGAGCCAATACGCAAGGGAAGCCAGCTCCCTGCACATAATGACTCTGCATCTGGCCCCCCGTTGCTGTCTTCTACAGAGGAAACGGGACAGGCAGGAGCTGGGTCTGAAAGGAGCCAGCTTAAAAGCCTGCCCCTCCCCCTCATGCTGCTCCCTCTATCAGATACAGAGGCAGCAGCGTAGGATAGCAGGGGGCTGCCCGGGATGGGCTGGGAGTGCACTGGCTGCTGGCCCTGCCCTAGGGACTATTAACTATTCGTGTAACCAACAATATTTTGTGTGCTTACATGATTATTCAATTACCCAGCATCTAACATCCCTACTGGGGATGCAGGTTCTGGGGTGGGACTGGAGATGAGGCGTTTCGGGTGCAGTAGGGGACTCTAGACTGACACCAAGAGGTTTGGACTGTGGAAAGGGGCTCAGGACAGGAGGTTGGCGTTCAAAAAGACACAACACCAGCCCCGCAAGGTGGGGGGAAGAGCAGCAGCACATGGAACTGCCTATGCCTCCCCACACCAGGCAGGACAGGATAATACTCTTGGGCTTTAGTGCCCGCAGCCAGGGCTGGGGCTATGGGAGCCTTGCAAAAAGATCTGCACTATTGGTGGTGTGGAGATATTTTTGTGGGGTGTCCCTTAGAATGGAACCCTGGTCTGCAACCCCCTATATCCCCCTTCTTAATTCAGCCCTGGGTTTTGAATCAATATTCTGGGGTTTCCTCAACAAGGGTTGGAAGATTTAAGGAATTTATCCTCAAGCATCTGGAAAATAATAAGGTGACAGGTAACAACCAACATGCATTTGTAAAGAACAAATAATGTCAAACCAATCTGATAATAAGGGAGCATGTGGATAAGGGAAGAAGCAGTGGACGCGGTATACCAAGTAAGGCATTTGATACGGTCTCACATGATCTTCTTATCAAAAAACTAGGCAAATACAACCTAGATGGGGCTACTATAAGGTGGGTGCATAACTGGCTGGATAACTGTTCTGAGAGAGTAGTTATTAATGGTTCACAATCCTGCTGGGAAGGTATAACAAGTGGGGTTCCGCAGGAGTCTGTTTTGGGACTGGTTCTGTTCAATATCTTCATCAACAATTTAGATATCGGCATAGAGAGGATGCTTATTAAGTTTGCAGATGATACCAAGCTGAGAGGGGTTGCAAGTGCTCTGGAGGACAGGGTCATAATTCGAAATGATCTGGACAAACTGGAGAAATGATCTGAGGTAAATAGGATGAAGTTTAATAAGGACAAATGCAAAGTGCTCCACTTAGGAAGGACCAATCAGTTTCACACATACAGAATGGGAAGCGACTGTCTAGGAAGGAGTACTGCAGAAAGGGATGTAGGGGTCATAGTGAGCCACAAGCTAAATATGAGTCAACAGTGTGACACTGTTGCAAAAAAAAGGGAAACATGATTCTGGGCTGCATTAACATGTTGTGAGAAAGACACAAGAAGTCATTCTTCTGCTCTACTCTGCGCTGATTAGGCCCCAGTTGGAGTATTGTGTCCAGTTCTGGGCACCACCGTTCAAAAAAGATGTGGAGACATTGGAGAAGGTCCAGAGAAGAGCAACAAGAACGATTAAAGGTCTAGAGAACATGACCTATGAAGGAAGGCTGAAAGAACAGGGCTTGTTTAGTTTGGAAAGAAAAAGACTGAGAGGACATGGTAGCAGTTTTCAAGTATCTAAAAGTGTGTTACAAGGAGGCGGGAGAAAAATTGTTCTCCTTGGCCTTAGAGGATAGGAAAAGAAGCCATGGGCTGAAATTGCAGTAAGGGAAGTTTAGGTTGGACATTAGGAAAAAATTCCTAATTGTCAGGGTGGTTAAACACTGGACTACATTTCCTAGGGAGGTTGTGGAATCGCCATCCATTCAAGAGCAGGTTAGACAGACACCTGTTAGGGATGAGCTAGAAGGTGCTTGGTCCTGCCGTGAGGCCAGGGGACTGGACTCGATAACCGCTCAAGGTCCCTTCCAGCTCTAGGATTCTAGGATTCAGGGGCTGGAATTCAGGAGGGCTGAATCTGACCAGCTGAGTCTAGAATATTTATCAATTTTAAAACTTGGTTTTCTGGCCCTGATTCAGGGAAGCAGCCTTTTTCAGGACCCAGATTAAATTTTGCTAATGTATGAGCATGTGCTTCATAGATTCCATCTAATTGGACTGCTTGAATAACATGGGCCATAGAACTTCCCCCAAACAATTCCTAGAACAAATCTTTCAGAAGAATATCCAAACTCGAGTTTACAATTGTTACTGATAGAGAATCCACCATGACCCTTGGTAAGGTGTTCCAATGGTTAATTACTTCCACTGTTAAAAATAATAATAATAATATATATATGCCTTGTTTCCATGAGAATATGTCTAGCTTGAACGCCTAGACATGGGACCATGTTATAACGTTCTCTGCTAGATTGAAAAACCTATTATTTAATATTTGTTTCTCACGCAGGTACTTACAGATGATAACCCTGTCACCCCTTAACCTTCTCTTTATTAGGGTAAATAGGTTGAGCTCCTTAGGTAGCTCACTGGACGGCAGGTTTCTTCTTTGAGTGGCTGTGCATGTCCACAGCAGATGTGCCTGCTTGCCATATGTACTGGTGCTGGAGGTTTTTTTCCCTAGCGGTACCAGTAAAGGAGCACCTCTAGCAACTCTTGGGGCATGTCTAGACTACAGGGTCACCAAAACTATACCTGCGTCTACACTGCCGCTGAGTTCTGTCGACATAACGTTGACAGAACTCAGCAGTTTTGTCAACGGCTGTAAACCTCATTCTACGAGGAATAATGCCTTTTGTCAACAGAGTTCTGTCAACAGAAGGCGTTATTGCATCTACACTGTCCTTTGCGTCTAAACTGTCATGTCAACAAAGCAGCTTGCTTTGTCGACAGAGCTGGATGTAGTCTAGACACTCTTTGTCGACAAAACTTCTCTCAACAAAAGCCTGTAGTCTAGACGTACCCTTGGAATGGTGCTTCCATGGCATGGTAAAAGGGGCATTGTGCTTTCCTTCCTCCCTCAGTTCTTTCTTGCCACCAGTGATGGTGCACAGAACCGCTTTTGCTCCAGCTAACCGCTGTAGCTGTTTGTTCGTACATTAGTGTTTCATAGCTTGCATGTATCTAGTTCCCTAGTAGTGTAATGCCATAGCTAGTTAAAGACCTTGTCCCTTGTGGGACTTCGCCCTGGTTGGGGTATGCTCCAATCCCCAGGCTTTGAATCCTGAAACACCTGCACATGTCCTATGCCAATGGGGACCCACACAAGAGTTGCTTGTGCTGCCTGGGTGAAGATCACATAATGACAAGTGCGAGATTTGCAAGTCCTTTGGCCAAAGGACTGAAAAGGAGCAGGACATTCAGCTCTGTGCCCTCCTTATGGAGTTGACCCTAACTCCAGCACGGGTGCATTGATCCAACTCAGCACCAAGCACAGTGGCCACAGTGTGTAGCGCTCCAGCGGTACTGTCTAGTGCTGTGGTCACCAACCCATTGTTCATGATCGACTGGTCGATTGCGAGGCCTCAACCAGTCAATCACGAGGTGTTCTGGGCCCCCCCATTTTCCCCCACCCTCAAGAAGCCCCACCACCTACCTCCAGCGACAATGGAGGTAGTGGCGGCTTCCCGCTGGGAGGACGGAAGTCCTGAGCTACCCATCACTTCCAGGGGTTCCAGAAATGCGCTGGCTGCTTCCTTGCCTCAGGTCTGTGGTGTGCCAGGAGCTTATCCAGGGGAGTCCCCAGAGGCACGTGCTGGGACTTCCCTTCTCTGTGAGAGGGGGGAAGTCGGCACCGGAGGGGGCATGTGTGTGGGCTTCCCTGCTCTGTGGGGTCTGGGGGGAGGAGGTGGGTGCAGGGGACTCTGTCCTCACTGGCACCCTATCCCCTACTGCAGAACCCTGT